TCATCACCATGGAGATTGAGAACGGTGCCGACCGATTGACCACAGGATACATCTTCAATATCTTTGATGCAGAGAAAGATACCATTTCAAGCACAATAGAATATACAAATGTATATACAAATGTATATATATATACACTAGATATATACTATCAGTATGTGATGTAGAGCACTTGCAGCTATAGATGCGGATGGTCATGTCAATCATGTCTACACAAAAAGATAGTCAGTCCAACGAGATACATATCATAGATATGTCATAGACTCTCAAATGCACCCAACACGGGATTCGAACGCTGCAGCCATCATCTGGCGGTCTGACCTGACGAGAATTCCGGTGATCAAACTTCTGTGAGCGAGTACAATCGCGATGGATTGCCGATATTGGATCAATGACACCATATGATACAACTTGAGCCAAGTCAACTGGTCAACTGACTTGTCAACCAGCCACAAGGCTCCTGTGTCTGCTTCACTGCCCACCAACATCCATGTTGAATGATAAGAACGTAAATGCTTTAATTTTTCAAGATGAGATGAACCATCCATCCCTCCAATTCCTAAGTTTGACCACTCACTCATCATGTGTGAGGCCCACTGGTGAGCGCATGTGGTGAAAATGCTGCGGACAGGGAAGCACGATTCATCTGATTGCCCTTGAGGCTTCACAAAGCCATACTATGGACTTTTGTCGGAGTTTGAAGGAAAAATGCGGGACTAACTTGACCGACCATTTTGGGCACAGCGTCCCAGAGTGGAAGCCAGAAAACGGGCAACTCTCAAAAGATTCATTCCAAATTAAAGACAGCTCATTAATGCAGCTCCATATCCGGGTGCCTGGAGGCATCCGGAAAGCAGCTCAGTTACGCCCTGGGTGGCAAAGCTGGGATGGACCTCACTTCCCTTCAAGCTATATAAGTTATATATTTGATCATACAGAAGTCTCTGACCAGCTTGCTGTTCACAGCATTCTGTTGGGAGTGCCCCTGGTCCGAAGACTAAAAACAAACAAACAAGAGCGAGAAAATGATCCAGTGATGCAACGATCGAATGAAAAGTGAACAGGTTGAAACCACAAAGGTGTGGCAGAAACGTCATGAAGATCACCCTGGAGCTCAGCTAATGAGCGGGATAACGGAGCCCGACGGAGCCCTTTCTTGGGACATGAATCCAAGAGGAACGGAGTTGAGAGCAGTTGAAACTTTGCCCAATGGGCCGAATGGGCTGGAAGTCCCCACATCAAGCCGCACGGCTCATCCCCCAAGTCATGATGACATGTGCATGACATGTGCATGACATGTGCCACTTGAAAAGCTTGGACCAGCCATGCCATGCCATGTCCCATGCCATGTTCCATGCCATGTGCCACCGCCATCCCAGATCGTCCCCATGCCATTGAGCCAGGTCAGTGCAGCGGATCAGTGGGGCTGACGTGTTTGAGGCATGTCATGAGAGTCATGATGTTGCTTGGATTGAATCTTTGGATGCTATGACAGCTCTGGTACAACTACAGTATATGTATGTATGTGTGTATATATTATATAGAATATATATATATATATATTATATATAGAATATATATATATACACGCTCATACACGCGCCTAGGATCTTGCGCAGGGTCAACATGGTTCGGAGAAGTTGCAAAAACACTGGCGATATGCAGTGATTTCGGGTTTGGGGTTTAGGGTTTTAGGGTTTAGGGTTTAAGAACCCCTTTGGGGTTTTAGGGCTTCAGAAGGGTAAACACAGGGGGCCTGCACAGGAATTTGAGCAATTGGAATAAGTAACGATTGCGTGTTTGTTGAGACCACGGGCAAACTCCAAGCATTGCTTTATATTAATTGTTACTGCATGTATATATATATATATATTATACATACATTTACATACACATACATGTATGATGTATCATTTTGTAAATACAGATTAACCATCTCCTACCTGAGTCTGACTCTGAGCAACACCAGGCGGGGCTTCAGGTGATATTTTCTGTGTTCGGATGCGTTCCCATGCCGTGCCGGGCACAGAACCTCGGGAGCCCGTCCAGGGCTGGAGCTGCGGCTTTGTCCAGAAATGGATACCTCGAAGTTGCCTCGAAGTTGCGATTTTCATGGGATACCCAAATTTTCGATGAATTTTCAGGTACCCAACTGGAACGAAACATGGGATTTTGGATGATTTTGGGGTATCCAATTCTTGGACAAAGCCATGCTTTCGTGAGGTTTTGGTGTTTTTCTGGGAGCCACTTGGATGGGGGATCCGGCGTGGATATCTGGTCGGTTCGCTGGGTAGGCGTATCCCCATGGTCTTCTTAACCAACCAACCAACATTTTCCCTTTTGCCATGGCATTTCTCCACCTGCCACGTATATTTGCTTGGCTCTGTATATGGATTTGATTGGATTTGTCTCAGCATGGGGGATAAACCATTTTCTGATCCGGAATATGATTCATGATAAACCGTTCGAATTGAGGGCATGCACCCCTGTTTAACACCACGCCGTAAGAGATAAGTTGGGTTAACAAAAAGACACCAGTTGGAGGCATAGATCTGCCACTTTTCCAGGTGTTGCCACCCTGTCGAGGCCGTGCCGAAGTCGCAGATCCAGCTGCTGTTTCGCCTGAAACATGCGCCCACTGCCGAGGCACCGTGGATGGTGGGTTTTGGATATTTCGGATATTTTGGATATGGTGGTTTCCTATGTTTCCTAAGTCATGGGGGTACCCCCAAATCTTCATCCATTTTAGATTGGGATTTTGCATGAAATAAACCATCCAGCTATTGGGTAACCGAGGCCGTGTTGCAGCTCACCTCCAGGCGCTTTTTTCGTCAGGTCGAAAAAATCAGGGGATTTCACCAAGAAAAACGAGGATTTCAAGACCAACAATGGGGACTTTAAAACCTCACAGCCATGGAGATCTTGAGTGATCTTGAGTGATATTGACAATGTTTGGGATGGGTCACGATCTATGAGTTTCCATAGCTGAGATCTTGTCGGCACAGAAAGCGTTTGGTGTCTGCAGGTCAGCTTGTTGCTTGGATGCCTCGCAGCATATATATATATATATAATTCAAAATTAAACCCAGGCTTGAATCTGCAACAGACACAGCTTCTGTTTTTGCTGATGCTTCTTTTTTTGGCCGTGTATCAACAAAAACAGTTGGCGGTTTGATGCAGGAACTAGATCGAGGAAAGGGCTGCAGGGTTGGGATACGTTGGGACCTTTTGAAAGAATAGCGCTGATGGCGACAACAGTTGTTGAAAATCCGTGTTGGTTTATGATCGGTTTGAGGGTTATAACGGTTATACAATTCAAATCAATTCAATATATATATATATATGTACATAATATTTATATTAGAGTCTATGCATCTCTGTTTTGTCCATCGGCGTGGAAAATGCTGGGGTCCTCCTGCAGACCCCAAATGGCTTCTACGATTCCAACACCATTTTTGACAGAAGATTTCGTGCTGAAATTTCGTACAAGGGTGGCTTCTACTGGTGGGTTTCCAAATCTACGATTCCATCAGATTTCAGATTTTCTCCTGTCCCATTCCCAGGAGGCTCCCCTGAACGCCATTCACTGCAGCGCTGCTCTCCATCGCCTTGCTGTTTTGCATTTTCAGGCCGGAAGTTCCGGTGCGACGAATAGATTTCAGTAGTAAGTTTTCACATTCTTCATATTGTTCTTGAAGTTTTGTAATATATATATGTATATATAGATTAGAATCATTTAGAATCAATTTTCCATGTTGTGCTTCTGGTTGTACTTTTTGGTTGTGCGTTGTGATTCGTTTCAGCTGAGCAGTCGCGGCTGCCCAGGTGGGCCTTCCTTCACCAGCGCTGGAAAAGTTGTTGTCGCGTCAGCAAGAGCTACTGCAAGGACCGGAGCGCAGACCGCCCTGGGAGCTGAAGCGATTTCAGCTCTTTGCATAGCTATGCTGAGAAAAACTGCCGACAACAATGGCCATGATATATTAGAATCATTAGAACATGATGAAACAAATTACTGAAGTTGCCACGTTTACTGGGACATGCATGGTGACATGGGGGGTCTACACGTATCGGAGAAGTGACGGCAAGTCAATGTTGAATTTTCTGACGTTGTTTCATTTTAGGTTGAGGAATCCTCAGTATATGGGGGATTCAGGAGCATCCCAGAGATGTTGAGCTTTGAACGCTTCATTGATTTGACCAAAAAAACCCAGGAAATTGGTCTGCTCGGGTCTTTGCCAACACCGTGTAGGCGGGAGGTTTGATGGCAATCAAACGGGTTTTTTAGCAGTTTCACAGGCAACGGAGGTTTGCTCTGCTCCACCGCTAGTTCGATATTTTGGTGGTGTGTTTATGGCAGGCACTAGCACGAATGAAGCATTCTGAGCAGCCTTTCTTGCAAGCGGCGACGTGGCTGCAGTAGGCGACGTGGCCCACGGAGCTTCGAAGGTTGTCTGCTCAGGTCTCCTAGCCCATCTCCAACTGGGAGCTGCAACTCTCCGCGCTGGATGTGGCGCACACGGTGGGCACCGGCGGATCTCATCGATGTTTTTTTGGATCTATGGTTGTCCCCCCCAATGTATGGATAATGATGGATAATGATAGCAGCAGCTACCAGTGTCACCATGAGAAGCCCATCCATTGCTCATTGCCACTGGTCCTGGAACCTGAACTGCCCAACGGCCCAACGAGAGGTGTGAACCTTTGCAGCCTTACTCTTCGGCAGCCATTTGATTTAGCAGCTGGAGGCAGCAACCATTGAGGTGCTCCTGGCTGAGCTCGGCCGTGGCGACGGTGGCAAAGGGATTCCGTGGCCGTGATCAAGATGGATATGAAGCAGTCTGTTCAGATGTGAAGTTCCTTTTTCAGAAAATTTTTGAATACATTTAAGTTGAACTTTTTTTCCAGAGGGTAAATCTCCACTAAATCACCAGTTATAGGGGTTGAACTTTCTGGTTTTAAAATGACAGGCGTGCGGATCTCAGCCATCCGCTGATCCGCAAATGACCTCAGCCATCCCCAGAGCAGTGGCCAAATCCCTGGGGACAGAATCAGCTCACCTGGTTTATTGGGGATTATACTATATATATAATATATATATATATAATATATATAATATATATAATATATATAATATTGTGATATATTATGATATATTATGATATATTATGATATATTATGATATATTATGATATATTATATATATTATATAACATATAATGTACGCGTACTGTATATATATATATATATCAATAATAAGCCATAATGAGAATGCCATTCACCCCATTCTCCACCCTCGGCATGGGTCGCAGGTGTCCTGCGAGTTTCGGCCACAGTGCGTGGCCAACAGCGCCTGGAGCTTCGTCACGTTGAGCCGCTCGAGGGGCCAAAGCCAGCTGTGGGATGCCTTGGCCCAGCAGGTGGAGCATGTCTTTGCGGAAGGAAAGCAGGACGAATCCTGGGAGTCCTGGGAACTGGAGAAATATGAGGAAAGCATGAGGAAAGCAATTCATGTAAAAATGGTAAAATGCTGACAGCTTCAGTGATTGCATTCCGATTGTGTACAAGTGAGAAAAGGGATCACAACCAAAAGTAGCCCGGGTATGCTACAGCTGCTACACTTTCTCATGATGGAAAGCATTGTGCTATCCTGCAGCCGATGTTGCTAAGAGTGTGTCCACGAAGTTATCGTCCAGTGGGAAGAAGGTCAGTGCCATGTTTCAATGAAACTATCAGAATCTATCAGTGAATCTATCAGATGTTCATTTGCGCCACTTTCCAGAGGAGCCCCAGCACCTTGCCAACACTTTGTGGGGCTTTGGCAAAGTGAGCTATGGAGGCTCGCAGACTGCATGGTACATCCTCGGATGAGTGTTGAACTGAATGACAATGCAATCTTCCCATGCTATTCCAATGCAAACTGCCTTGTTGTGGGGGTCCATAGGGTCAACGACTTTACGGAGATGTCATTTTTGCCACACCTGCGATGCTCATCCAATGCAGGTGGGAAGGCCATCGCAGTGCTGCTGGAACAAACCCGGAAGGAGCAAATTGGGAGCCTGGGCCATTGGGCATAGCAGCTTCTGCGCAGGGTCAGAAAGTCTCTGCAACGAGAGAAAGAGCCCACGTCATAGATCTTGCGACCCACTCGTTTCTGTGTTTTAGTTGTTTCTAGTTATTTCTCCCTCTTCAACCATCCAGTTTCTACACGGGAAAGTGGCATGTCCAAGAATGTGAGATACCCGTAGTCCAAACGGATCTCTCTCTCTCTCTCTACATATAGTAATATAGTAATATAGTAATATAGTAGTATAGTAATATAGTAATATAGTAATATATAGTAAGATAGTAATAAAGTAATATAGCAATATAGCAATAGAATAATATAATAATATAGTCATAGAATAATATAGCAATATAGCAATAGAATAATACAATAATATAGTAATATAGTAATATAGCAATATAGTAATATAGTAACATAGTAACATAGTAATATAGTAATATAGCAATATAGTAATATAGTAACATAGTAACATAGTAATATAGTAATATAGTAATATAGTAATATAGCAATATAGTAATATAGCAATATAGCAATATAGGAATATAGGAATATAGTAATATAGTAATATAGCAATATAGTAATATAGCAATATAGCAATATAGTAACATAGTAACATAGTAACATAGTGATATATATATATATATGCAGATACATCTTTTATCTTTGGGAAAACCAACCATGGGGGTACAATTTGGAGCCGAGCCAGTGGGTAGGAGCTGCCTGGTTTCAATCCACAGTGCCTGAGCAATACAGCCTGAGCAGCTGCTGCCCTGTCCGTGGAAGACCAGTACCTGGGATCAGTAAACCGGGCAAGAAATCTAGAGGTTTGCAACCAGACTTCCTATCAACTGACTTAGCCTAATATATATATATATATATATACATTTATTGTTATTTTTCAAAAATTGTTTTTTTGGTTTGGATACTAATTTTCAAATCCAAGGGTGCCAGAGAAACTTGGGGATCTACTGAAGAATCAGGAAGTTGCCAGCATGGTGACTAGGGGATGATTGGTTTCGAGCATGGCTTTGTGTTGCTTCCACCTTGGAGGATAGTTGAACTGTCCAACAAGGTCCAACAATCAATTAACAACCATCACTTTGTTGTTTAATCTCCAGTTTCAAGTTCTTGCTCATTGAGATTGCATCAATGAATCCCAATTTTCACATTTTTTTTTAATGAAATGTATCAATGATCTCATCCAGCTCTCAGTTCCAGTTCTACGTCGTCCCTGTTCCGATGCACCTGAGGCAGATTATCGAGGCGATTGGGGCCCACAGCATCCCCAAGATGGCCCAGCTTCGAGACCAAGAACTGGCGAACCTGGTGTGAGGCAAGGCCGTTCCCGTGGCCGTGCTTGGTTGATGTGGATGTTTACCTGGGGTTTATTGTTGAGATACTCCAAGGCTTGACAATGAGTTGAACAGGTTTGCTGCTCACTTTGAGCAGATCATCCAGCAATGGCAATCCCCACGGTGGGAGTGCAGTTTTCAGCTTTGCAACTTCTGAAGGGGGAAAAAAGCAACCCAAGTGGATGATAATCAGTACCATTGTCAAAGCTCTAGTGACTAATGTTCGTATCACCACCTTGAGGCTGCTTTGCTATCCCCAGATATCTCCATGCTATGAGCAATATGAACAGATATCATTTGTGTTTCTCCAACATCACAGGGCCCTTTTTCGGGGTCCCTCGTTACCATCCCGTTACCATTCGTGTCCTCCGCTCCAGGTCATGCCGCCTTACTGACTTTGGATCGTCCCTTGATGACCGCGGCAGCGCGATGCGGAGCGCAAAATCTGCGCAGAGGCGCGGCTCGATCAGCGGGTGAATCAGCACGATATCATGATATTAGACTGATATATTGATATATTATAGAGATTTCTAAGAATGGGGAACCCCCAAATCATCCAATTTCCTAGAATTTCTTGGTTCATCTGAATATTGAAAGCCTAATTTTTCTATGTATTTCTGGGTATCCTAGTTTCCGAAATATCTTCGGCTGCAATTCAGCAGGATACCTGGCCGAGCCTGAGACATACTCAGAGTTTGGGGTCTACCTCTGCAATCCTTGTTGCAAAATGCTTCCAGGGCCTCAGCGAATGCGGGACTTGCCATGAGCTCAGCAAGAAAATGATGGTCTTGATATGTCTCGATGGTCTCCCAGCTCATAGCTTTGCACAAAGTGACATAGATCGTCAGATCGTCTCTTTCCGTCTTTTTCACTTTGCGACGCTCGCAACGATCTTGGTCATCCCGTCTCCCATCACGTGATGGGAGCATATGGGAGCAGGATCAGTTCTCTTTGCATTTGATTTACTAGGACTTTACCACATCCACGGGAATCAAGATCTTCCTGCAACATCCCTTAAAATGTGACAGCCGCATTCTACCATGCCAGCCAGGTGGGATTTGTATCATATTTTTCGTATATTTCGTCACATGAATTTTCCAGAAAAGTTGGTTCAGAATGGGGTCATGATGACCATCTGATGGCGCCAAGGGCGAACCTCTCATGAGCTTTTGCCCGGTTGCAGTGTTTCGACGCGGGGCTCCTGGATGCAGTGGCAGCAGCTGCAGTGGCAAACCATCCAGAGGAAGCAGGTGTGGTCCGTGGTTGGCACGTTCATAGTTAAGGTATATACATGTGTATATACGTGTATATACGTGTATATACGTGTATATATATATAGATATACCATATATATATATATATATTACTCCTTGTAATTTCACATATGAATCATGGCTCATGTATATAGTTCGATGATTTACCTATTATTTTCATGGTGATGTTCCATAGCTATACATACTGACAGTGCAGGTCAGGAGCTGTCGAGCATTTTGTGGAGCTTCGCTTCCTTCGTCGTGGTGCAGCGGCCGCTGGTGACCACTTTCTCTGAGACGTTGCTTCAGAGGATAGCATCAGTTTGATGCGGTGGCCAGATCAGTTCCGTTAATTGGAATTAATGTAAAGCGGTAAAGCGATAATAAACCACCAATCTTTGGATATACCCGTTTATGGTACATTGATGGTCTACTGAGTCTACTGTTCCTTTCCTAACATTAGGTCCTTCACTTTTTATTGTCACCTGCCGTCGCAGGATCGATGAGTTCAGCCCACAGAGCCTGATGATGACCGCGTGGTCACTGTCCACTCTTGGTATGTCAGGCCACACTTCAGCCATGGTCCACGGTGTCTCCACAGTGTCTCCACGGTGTCTTGGGGTAAGCTCAATGGATTCCAACTGCACGGTCTTCAATGCTGATTCAATACTCAGATCTCTCTGTACTTGACACATGTTTCTTATTGGTCAAGTCTCAATGTAGAGCTTGATCTGGCCGATTCTGATCGCATAGAAATCGCTTTCACCGGTGTGCACAACGATAAATGCTGGAATTTCGGCGATTCTAACAGGCTGGTCGCAGATGAGAGTCATTGCAGATGCCGCTCGTGGGGCTTCCCAGTCAGCCCAAAAAAAACCTGCGGGGGAAGCCGGTAGGACCTGTGGCTTGTCCAGTGAATTGAGAACTTTGGAGATACCCGGCCTGGTAAACAGCCACATAGCTATGGAAAATCACCATTTTTAATGGGAAAACTCACTATAAATGGGTCATTTTCAATAGCTATGTTAGTTTACCAGAGGGTAAGAGAAATCATGTTGTAAATCATGGGAATCAGAACTTGCTGTGTCTTGGTGTGTCTGAAATGTGCGATTCTGTCTGACACATGTGCAGTACATCTCAAAGGATTGATGATGAAGTTGCACACTTTGTCCCACATGTTTGTTGATGATCCGACAAGCTCCGATGCTCTGATCAAGTCGAGATTCGCATTGCTTGTTGGATTTGCCGATGTGGGCACCCCAATGCCCCAAGCCTTTTCTTTGCCAAGCACTGTGCGCAGCTTGAGAAACGTGGAGGGAGCCGCCAAGTTCTAGCCAGGTTTGCAAGGCAGTTCAACAGGTCTGTTTTTCCAGCCATGTTTCGATATGGACCTAGCAATCTTTGGGCACTTCTGAGGCCCCAGGCTGGCAGAGTTCAACGAGCTATGGCCACGCCGACGAAACTTTCGATGCTTCACCAGCTGTGAGTTTTCGTTCGGTCGACAATCAGATGGGGTGAAAATGGTTTGAGGATGGTGTCTGGAGTAAGAAGAGATAAGAGTACAGAATCCCTGATATATTTGGCATTAAACTCATTAAACCGTAGCTTCAGAAGTTCAATCAACCCTAAGGTGATCCACTCAGATCCACTCAGTTTGTCACTTGGAGCAGTTGCTTTGCTTCGAGCTGTGACAGGATTGGGAGCATCCTTTGGTCCATCGCTTCCTGTCCTGTGGAGGAGGAAGAAGAATTGGAGCGGAAGCGTTGCTAGACCAAAGAGATGACTCAGCGCTTTTTTGATTGCTAGATGTGTGGGTGTTTGTTGGTGTTGTGCCAGACCCAAACTAAAACGCACATCGGTTGAACTTTAGAGTTCAGAGCTGGATGAGTGACAGCTTGTATCTTAGATTATCTTTGAGTCTTGGAACATCTTAGAACACCTTAGACCATCTTGCAAACAAGAGTTTCATGATGTTTTATGTCATTTTATGTGACCAACATGGACCACAGTTTTAGGCTACCTGGTGTCGCTGTCCTCGGCGCCGGTGCTACATCCCCTGGGACAGTGGAGAGGTCACAAGCTATGCTTGTTGGCCAATGGGCTTTTTCAGGTGCGAGACGGGGGTCTCGCCATGCGGTCTCCCGCAGTCAATGAATCAGTCCAGCACCGGAGACCAAGGGTCCGGGACCTGCATGTCAGGCCATGTCAGGCATAGGGGCCCAGCTTCAGTTGACAGTTGACAGGTCAAAGACGAGTTGCCAGAGATCTGGCAGCAGGTGGAGACACGCCACTCAGCTGCACCTGGTTTGGAGCTGAAATCGGCCACATTTATTGTTTGGGGCCAGCATTAGACGGGTGAACTCGGAATATTGTACTGGATGACTCCGTAAATGTTCGACCTGCACACTTTGGAAATGGCTCAGAATCACCGGCCCAGATCCACATTAGTAAACAGGATGGTCGGCATGGTCAACTCCGATCCGAGTCATGTGGGAACAAGCTTACAATGTATGACAGTTTTTTCCTGGCACCGCCAGCAATTTTGTTTACCTGCGCTTACGAGCGTTGCTCAAAATATGATGAACATATCAAGTGCAGGTTGCTTTTCAAGTCAGATTATGGCCCAGAATGCCGCAATGAACTTTTGGCAAGCATACATTTTGTTGATATTGCTTCGGACTTGACGGTTTTTTTGACCTTAAAAATTGGGGGCGCGGGCCAAACATATCCAGGATGGGCACGCTCAGATTCGAAACTTTGGGGGCATCAAACGCATGCACCACAGGTTGGATGACAGAACTTGTGGCCCTCAAGCATTTGCTTTCTCACGCTGTGGAACACGCACAAGACGCGGACAGGCCTGGGTTTGGATGGAAGGAGTTCCCACTTGCAGTTGGTATGGGGCAGTCCTAGAGTCCTAGATGAACATTTACACTTTCGACATGCAATGTTTCTTTCAGCACGCGCGCGCTTTTTGGGATCCAACACCATCATTGTATATCATTGTCCATTGTGGCATTTGCGTGACAGGGTTCAGAATTTGTTGGAACATTTTTAGCACAGGGGTGTCAACAGTCAACAGGTTGAGGGAAAAATGTCGTTCCATTCTTCCGGAGGTATCGGGAGAGGATCCAATCCACCGAGTTGTTTCACGTGGGACCTTTCTACACCCGGCCTTTGCTGGATTTGCTCCAGATCAAAGAGGCGCTGAAAGGGATGGGATGCGAGCAGGCACAGATGAAATTTCAGCGACATGCAATGTAGAGATGGGATGAGATGGGTAGAAATTCCAGACAGATCTCAGAATTGCCTGAATTCTTGGTGCTTTACATCTCAGATTTTGGTGAATGTCATTACCCTCTGGTAAACTGTCCCAAAAAACTATGGAAAATCACCAATTTTAATGGGAAAATCCACTATTTCTATGGTCATTTTCAATAGCAAACTGTTAGTTTACCAGAGGGTATATCCCATTATCATCCCATTATTTCCCATTAAAATCCCATTAAAATCCCAATTTTGACATAACCAGAGGGTACCAGCCATTACTTGACCAATGACTTCACCTCTCCGAGGCCGCGCCGGAGTTTGTGGCATCAGCACGGTGGCGACCCAGCGCCAGTGGTGCTGGTAGTATAACCATTTTCAGTCAAAACAGCCACTGCTGAGAAGGTAATTCAGTACTGTACTGGTTGTATAGTTGAGCTATCTTGAATTTATAGAATTTATAGAATTTATATTTGTAGACTTGTAACAATAGGAATAGCATAATCATGATGATTGTGCTTTTTTATCCCCACTAGTTGGGACATAGTTTCAGTAGGAAACATCAGATGATCAGATGGCCCTTGTCCTCGAGGCATCTCCAGCAGCGAGAGGTGGCGAGAGGTGTTGCGTGTTTCGCACGTTTTGATGTGGCAGCGAATGGAAGAGGACATTGCAGGGAACCGCTTGGGGGCTTGGAGCGTTTCACTGTGTTACTTGGGTATCCATGGGTATCCCAGATCCAAATTTCACTGGTGAATCCACTGGAGCCTGATGATATTGTCATACTGTAAGTCATTGTTTGGAATCCAACAGAAACCACAGAGAGCCATTGCCATAGTTGGCATGGTGCAACTATGGTGCAACTGGCGGCTCACTGGATCAGGATTCGTTGATCATGGTGTTTTCATCACGAGAGATCACGAGGACGGCTTTTTGATGGGGAGATCATTGGGAGTCGATTCGGAGAGGTGAAGAACACTGGTTTGTTGGGGATGGGTAAAGACCTAATAGGATCATTTCCGAGTGGGTCACCAAGCTTTTGATCCTTAAATTCGAAGATGAAAGATACATATCACGGCAGGCTCTGGATGCCAACCATCTTCACTTGGCCGTTGGCTCAGCCACCTGTGAATGTTGGCAGAAACTGGCAGAAACCACCAATGATGGTTGTATTATTATGTTGATTGGAGTATTAGAGTATTAAAAGAATATTTTGATTGGAGTTGTGGTAGAAGAGTCATTGTCTTTTAGACAATTTGATAAGTCATTGGATTTTCTAGAAACATATTTAGGTTGGAAACCAGAGAAAGCAGATGGTCTTGTCGGGCATTGAACAAGCCTCGAGTAGATCCACTACAAAGTGTTGGTTGAAACTAATTGACCGTCATTGCAGATAAAATGTGTGGTTAAAATGATCCAAATTGAGCCAATCTCAAGTAAATTGATCAAAGGGAATTCACCATTATCGACAATTATGGATGGTTAGATATAGTGTTCCAGAACCAAACCCATGTTCAATCAGCCATAAGTGTGTACTACAGCGGGTGCTTTAATCCCTGGAATTCCTCAGATCTCTGTGGCCCTCAACCACGATCGATCTGGGCATGCTGAGCCAGGGGCTTGGTTCCATTGTTGCAGGTAAATCGGGCTTCATCGCCGCACTATCATTGACAACCAAATCCATGGTGACTTCGGTTTCAAATGTTTCAATCTTCCGTTGTTTGAGCCACATCAAAGGGGTTTGGGACCGAAAAACGGTACCTGAAAATTTCGGGGAGCCCTAAATCCACGTGGATCCGGAGTCGAAAATGATCCCGCCTGAGTCGAGGCTAAAGGCCATGCGCTGGCTCCTGCAGACTTTGGAGGAGCGAAATGGTAGTGGTTTTGAGTGGTTTGTGAAAATGGCAGTACCCCCAAAATCCCAATGGCTCTGGGGTCAACCAAAAAAGTCTCAAACATTCATCTTTTTGGATCTTTTTGGCATCTTATACTCGACCAATATGATGCAAAATAGCATCGAATCGGTTGGTTGGGGAGAACGAAAGAGGTTGGCCGATCGCATGAACAGTTTTCTGGTGCTTCTTTTTAGGAGGTGCACTGCATCAGTTGCCAGGGCAAACTACTCGATTGAAACTGAGTTGTTGAAACATAGGTTTCTCCCAAGGAAGGAACCAGCAATACCACTGTCACCATTTTTGTTTCACTGAAATCGATCATGAAATGGTGGATGGTCACAGGCCGATGTTCCTCTCCACGATACTTCAGCCCGTTCGGAGGCCACGAAAGGGCTGGGAATCGAAAGGGTCTCGCTGACTTGATGAGGTTGATGGATGGCATAGCATAGCTTTTCCATTATGCACCCAATAAGGCTTGATCTCTGGAAGATGTTGTGTTGAACTGAACTATTATTCCAACAACTTTAAAGAGAGGCAGCAAGGGATACGGAGAAGCAAGGCATCGGATATCGCTGAATGCAGTTCTGTTCAATGGCTCGAAATGGGGGCCTTTTAATTTAACCGTGCCTCTCCTGTTGGATACAATTTTGACAGCCGAGCTCCCCATGTACTCCGTGCCCCGCTCGGTGTTGGATGCCTTTCGGCAACGCCCTCGACCCGTCCTGTACTACGCTGGCAGCTTCAACCCGCCCCATCCTGGGCACCTGCAAGCCATCAAAGGTGCAGCCCAGCAGCTGCAGGAGATGGGGCTTCTGGATCCCATCCTGGTGGTGGCACCCAAGAGTGATGAGAGGCTGAAGCAGAAGATGGGGAAATATGGAGAGACGTTGATGTTCCCCTGGTTGGAACGGGTGAAGCTGTTCCAACAGCTCTGGCGCGACTTGAACCTGGAGGCTGACCTTCGCGACCTTGGTGACCTTCACTTCGACAGCTCTTGGCGGCACTTCCGAGGCGAAGCTACGCAGATCCGCCGCGACACGGATCGAGCCTTTGGTGCCCTGGGGTGCCAGGTCTTCCGCGTCATGGGGGAGGACCGGGTCGTGGACCAGGGATTGGAAGATGACCCAATGGTGCTGTCCACCCCACGTTGCGAGCTGTCCAGCAGTCACATCCGGCAGCTCTTGGTGGATGATGCTTTTGATGCTTTAGATGCCTTGGTGGGCCCCAAAGTGGCCGAGGCATACATGCAATCCTTTGCAACCTTGTGAGGATGGATGGGTTGTCATGTGCACTTCATGGATGGGTTGCCACGGGCAGTTCATTTAGTCTTTAGAGCGGATCACGCAAAAAGAGAAGGCTGCCCCGGGAGAAAAATGTGTGATAACATCATGCAGAAGGGACAAAGTCTAGTGGTGATGTTGTCCGGCATTGGCCTGCTACATTCTGGGGGCCTTTGCGGTACGTCGAAACCGCTGGCAACCCCAAAATCCACAAGTCTGGTACGTCATTGAAAGAAGGGTTGAATGTCCTGCTTTTTGGACCCAAGTACAATTCATGAACAATTCATAAACAATTCATAAACTGGAATTTACTTCAGAGTATTTGAGATTGCCCTTTAGCGTTTCGGAAGATGGGATGCACACGGATTTGATCTGCACGACAGGTCTTCGGCCACATGTCTTTACATGTGACCCACTATCCTTGCCTGTCTTGTGCAGACCTCGGCCTATTTTTCACCAGGGTTTAGGACATGAAGATGTTGACATTGTCTGACATTTGTAAATTTGTTTCTTTGGAAAAATAAGGGTGACAGATGTTGAGGACACGTCGATATTTTGAAAGGTCTCAGACAGTTGCTTGTTCAAGGGTTGAACCACTCTTAAAGATTCTGATTCTGATGAATCCACGTGGCGTTGCCAAAAACAGGATGCGCCGGATGCCCCGGAAGATCCCATCATCATTCTCCACGTGAAAATGGCACTCAAATGGACAATGTGTTAACATTTTATATGATATCAAGATACATCACGTGATATTACTTTTTTTGAGATGAACATCATGAAGAACATCCATAAATCCATACATATTTGTTGGCAATTTTTTACCATAAATAACCATAAATTACCATAAACATCCCTGCTATTTCGATGCTGTTTTGATGTGAGAACCAGTCAGGTCTGGGTGCCCTGGCGCAGCTACGCGGCCTCTTACCGCGGCTGGAGCTTTTCCTGTGGCGCCGGCGGATGTTTCGATGTGGATTCCGGGGGACGTGGTGATAAAATGGGTCTGAAGTTGGGGTACACCCTAATCAATTTTCTATTTTTTGTGTGTAAATTGATGTAATTTGAAGATATTTTAAGGAGGGACATGAGGATGAACGTTTCGATTTTGGGACCAAAACGTGCGATTTTTTGGGATGACTCGGTAACAAGTATGGTCAAACTGGTGAGTCCTTGGGTACCCTAAACAACTACTGGGGGGACGGATCAACAGTTCATTTTGGGATAAACAAACCATCGAGGTATAGGATGCATGCAATGCATGACTGTCTCATTTTTATCTTTTTGCAGATTTTCACCTGGGTGTCTCTCAATTTGGTGTCTCCCAGTTTCAGTTGATGTTCCCGTGCAGTAGCCTTGAAACCAGGAGAATCTCATCCGGCACCGCAGCGTAGGGCTCTGGTACTTTTAGGGGGTTCATTGCAGCCGAGCGACGGCCATGGTTTTTCGTGCCGGAGCAGCCCTGGCGCTCTTGCTGGCCGGCAGCTGTGTGCCCTGGAAATAACAGAAATCTGTTGACGCTAAGCAGCTAAATGCAGAGGTTATAGCATGGACCATGGGACAGTGGCGGGAAGTTGGGAGCTTTCGATGATCAGTCTTTCGTTTTGACAAACCCAGAAATCTGGTGGATTCCGTTTTCCATCCATTTCCATCCCATCCTGGTCACCTTAAGGCCTTTAGCGTGCTGTCGCCCCGCACGGTGCGGGCCACCGGAGCCTTGCGCGGCGCCACTTCGGCCAGCGCGTCGCCCAGCGCCGCGGTCGGCGGAGTCGTTGGTGCCGCGGGGGTCGCAGCCCTCTGCGGGGTGGCAGCACTGAGACGGACTTCCCGTGTGGCATGCCACTTGGATGCGGATTCTTACTTGGATGGGGGTTGATTTAGTGGATTACTCTCTGGTAAACTGTCCCATAGCTATGGAAAATCACCATTTTTAATGGGAAAACTCACTATAAATGGCCATTTTCAATAGCTATGTTAAATTACCAGAGGGTAATGTGGATTAATCATGATTCAATGGAGATAGGTGACTTTTTCTTGGTATGTTAGGGTGTTGACATCCCCAAAGTGGATGGATTTGTTTTGCGTTGAACAAAAATCCACATTGATGAGATGTGGGTCCACTGGTACCCCACTTACTGTATATAGAGCGACAACTCCTCCAAAATCAATCAAAATCCGAGTGAATGGCTGGTTTTAAGCTGCCATTTTCAGGATGCAACTGTCAATTTCATGGGGGATATCTAGGATAGTAAGATGCTCGACCCTGACTAAATAGTCAACAAATGTCAACACTGGGCCGAAGCCAATTTTTTTTAAAGGGTTGCCGCAGTTCACAATCCGTTGCCGACATCATCCCGGATGAGGGTACTATAGTTGTTCCATGAGATGGGGCTCTGCTTCAATCTGAGGTCATGCCAAGCAATACTGGGAAGGTGAGTGGATCTGCGCAGATTGCGGATATATTTACAATGAGCACCTTGCCAAGACAAGCCGTGTTCACCGGAGTCCTTGTTGTTCCCTGTGTGCGACTGTGATGGTTTTTGCTTTTGAGTATTGAATAATTGTTATCATTTCTTGACCACCCGGAGATTTGCATAAGTAGCTGGCAGGTGGTAAGGACGAGTAGCAAGGATCTTGAGTAATTGGCAAACCGATGTACAACCTGACTCCATCTGACTCCATTTGCCCCAAATATCGATGGCCAAAATTTGGGCAGTTCCAAGGCGTGCTTTCGGCATGAAGTTCGAGGACAGTGTTCATCCCGGGGGAGCTTCCTGGAGACATGGTGAGGTACTGTAAACAACTGGACACTGAACTCACTGAACCAAGGAATTCAAATTTTGAGGCAAATCTTTCTGTCAAATCTCAGAATCACGAATTATGCAGATACTGAGCCTTGGTTGGTCTAAGTCTGAATTCATCCGCAAGCGGCTTTTTGCTGTTTCAGATCCCTGTGTTTATGTTGACTATATATCAAGATAGATCTCGACTCCTTTGTTTTCGATTTTCTTTTCCACAGCCCTCCCAATAAGAATTGATGTGCGGTAAAAACGTGATTTCCTGCATACATTTGGCTTAATCAATCCATTGAAACCGGCTTTGGAAACTATTTGTTCACATAATACCACGATTACATATCATTTCAAATGATACGCTGGTGCCGGGCTGCTTTTAGCTTCTCACGGCGAAAACCCTTTCCCAATAGAACCCTGCAGAAGCATGACCATCTCATAGACTTTGTAGTGGGCTATAACTCAACGTCCGTTGCCTGCTACACAACATTGCCTCAGACATGCGATCACGGATGTTAAAGGCTTCAAGAAGCATACATCAACTTTTCCTCCTGAAGTAGATCCCTGGATCCCCATCTATGGTTGGTGAATCCCATTAACTAAACAACAGTAGCCACCATATTAAGCAATATCAAACAGTATTTAAACATATATTAAAACCCTATTAAACCATTATTAAACCCATATGGCCAATGAAACCATCATAAAACATGATGATTTGATTCCATTGACATTGTTCAATATCATTTTTTAAAGGGTCAGTAACCATGATCTTCAAACCCATCAGGACCAATAAATCCAACAGGACCTGCAGCAGGGCTTCAAGTGCCCGCAGTGCGCCGCGCCGCGGCGCCGCTTTGCGCGAAAGCTTGGCGACAAGATCGGCACCACTTTGGATGGCGGGGATGGGGATGGGGCAACCAGGGGGACCTTGAAAGAAAAGGGGTGGTACCCAAAAAGTGTTTTTTTTTGGGGGGGGAAATGATGGAACATGATGATTAGCCAAAGGATGTCATGATTTTCATAATGATGAGGCACTGGTGATATAGTGGTGATATATTGACGATGTGTATATATATAATAGGATTTGAATGGATCCTACTTGGATTTTGATGGTGATGGAAGACATTTCGGGTAGAAAGATGGGGAATTGATGGGACAATTTCTCACATCAAAAGGATATTATCTTTGGGAACCAGTTAAGCTGAAAGATAGGGGTCACTTTTGTGGATGGAACACTTGCTGGTTGAAAGTATCAAATCATGGGACACGCCGGGTGGATCAGGTTGGATTCATACCCGTTTTTGGTTTTTGGGTTTTGGACAATATCGGCGGAGCTTTTGCTCTTGGTCATTGAGGGATTTCCCCTCAGAGTCCAAGATGGCTGAATATCAATCTGTATTATGCAAAGATTGTTGCACTGAAGAATTCCTAAGAAGAACAATTCCATCCAGAGTGTTCCACTGAACAACATCTTGGTAGGAGCACTCCTAAGTGTTACTATTTGCTGACATCCCAGATATCCCGAGATTTTTTTGCGCGCCAGCGTGTTGACCCATGGACTGGGCATCTGTGCACCGGAATGGCCATGAATTTCTCCAGCAAGATAGATCCAAACGATGGTTGCCTTGGAGCCAGGTGGAGACACACCGATCATCATTTTCACGGCTGTTTGCTTGTTGATTGTCTTGGGCATCGCCTACTATAGCCTCCAGTAAGGCAGGGATCACGACGGACAAGGATCAAAGGACGCTGTGAAAGTCGAGTTTCAGCAAGCTGGTGCCATTATCTTGAAGAGTTTGGTGGATTGTGGATTTTCTAAACATATTTTCTCCAATTTGGATTTCTCCTTCCCTTCGTTGCGTCAAGACCGATTTTGGTGAACCGCCAGGGTGGCACGTTCTCCGCTGAGGGCTAAAAGTCTGAGCGCCAAGAACTTGGACGTCCAAGGTTCGCGAAAAAAAGGAGCTCTCCGGCGTCTTGGAATTCCGAAGGTAGAAACCGCTGCGATGATTTATACAAAAATGATATTAATATATCCAGAATCAGGCATCAATCAACTCCAGGCATATGTATAATATTCCGATATATATATAGAGATATTATGCATAATGTATGTATATCTATCTATCTAAATCTAATCTAATCTAGTCTAATCTTAATCTAATCTAATCTAGTCTAATCTGATCTAGTCTAATCTAATCTAGTCTAATCTAATCTAGTCTAAGTCTAATTTAATCTAGTCTAATCTAAATCTAATCTTCATCTAATCTAATCTAGTCTAATCTAATCTAGTCTAATCTAACCTAGTCTAATCTAATCTAATCTATCTATCTATATTATACATATTCCATAGTATTACTTTACCTATATATATATACTCCTGCAGTTTTTGATCATTTTTGCGACAGGGTCTGACATGATCACCACAAGTGCCAGGTCCTTTGACTGGACCCCAGGTGCAGCAAGAGGATCCTGAGTGCCGGCAGAAAATGTGGGTCATTTCCGTCATTTCCAGGATCGAAGGACTGCACTCAACTCTGTAGTTTTTTTTTCTTTTTTTTTCGGTGTACTGTTGTTTATCATCCATTTTTAAGAAGATACTGAAGAAATTGAAGATGGATTGACCCATAGCCAACTAGAAAAGCGATAGCTCTGATGTATTGGAAAAAAAAGCCGCCAGAAGCTTGAAATGCTGCAGTGGAGGGTTGCAGGATATCTTTCTTTCCAGCGCCTTGCGGCCTTGCACATGATCCCGGGATCCCTTTGATCATCCTGCATGGGCTTGAACGGTTTGCAGCTGAGTACAACCACAGAGGCAGTGCAAACATGCGCAAACTTTCTGAATCCACCCCAAAAAAAGCTCACCAGCTACATTCTGCTGTCATTGTGTGGACGGAACTTGAACAGAAATGCTAGATGAACATGATGAACCTGTTGGTGGGGCGAATATCAGCTAGGATCACTAGAACCACTAGAACCACTGGCCTTCGGAATGCAGCAGGTCATAAACTTCAAGTCATGCGGGAAACAACATTTGCTTCCCATAAGATCCAGAATTCTTGGAGGTCCACACACTGCAACTGGAACCACACCACAGAAGCACCGGGTTTGCGCGGCTGAGAACTGGGAACGGAAGCGAACAGCCAGCTGAAGGATCATACAAGGCTAGCCATAGTTTCGACACCGAATGGGTCACCAGTCACATCCAGTCACCAAAAGTCACTGATCACCAGTCGATGTTGTGATTTTGCAGATCTCACACTTGATGTATGCCACTGAGTGCCGATTCCTTCAGTGAAAGGTTGAACTTGGCTGATGCCAGACGCTGATAGATTTGATGCATCCACATGGTCTCGCCACCTTGCAAGAACCAACTTCTAAACCCTTGAACCCAGCACGACTCAGGGTGAGTATAGAGAAACCACAGAGTCAGACCGACGTTTACCATGGAATTTTTCCGCAATTCAAGTTGAGCTGGAGATGGCCCTACCATGAGACTTTTCAAACAAAATCAAACGGTTACCACACTGAACCACACCCATAGCATCCCATATCATTCAGTCAGCAAAGACACAGCAGCTTGTGATTTTGGGACGTCAGTGCAGACGCCGCCAATTTGTGTCTCGGTTTCACCAGTTTCGCTGGTTGAACAGCCAAGCCACACTCAGCTGGAGGTACCAGTTTTCTTTCGGGGTGGATTGTCCATGGCATTGTGCCAAACCCTCCAAGAGCACCGCTGGGTGGTGTTTCGAGCTTTGGTTGCTGGTTTTACTTGACAATGGATGATGATCATCCACTTTTTATTGAACAGTAGAAACCCCTAGAATCATCAATCAACAGGGGTTGACACTGCTAATTTGTTTATGGCTCTTCCATCCCTACCTGGAATTGTTGACTGTTGAGGATGGCAGAAATGACCGTGATGACAAGCTGGCTCATGGCGTACAGTGATGTGATATGATGTAATCCTTTGCAAACACTCAACACCCTTGAAACTCTGGTGTGCAATTTAGGGGCCCATGTGGAGGTGAATTTGTAGGGGACGGTATGGGATTGTTGGTTTTGCACCCCAACCCGGTACTTCCAACTTTTTGCCATGTTTATCGGTGGTGGACATGATTTCGGGTCGAATGCATGCTGTCCCAAAACGGGATACGATGGATACGGACCTACCTTCTCCCACGAAGTCATAAAGACTTCCAGATTCCTCTCAGTCGTATCGTCGTGCCCCTATGCTAGAATCCCAGGTGGCCTACAAAAATGGGCCGACCAAACACAGAGCAGAAGCTCGACATGGCCTTTGCCTTATATGGGGTGGCTTCAGATTTGATGGAGACAGCGGTTGCACTTTTCAGGCACTTGCTCAGGCCAGGTTAACCTCGGTCGCATGTGATGGGCATGAAATGGTGGCAGTTTGACAGAAATGCGGGGGCAACAAGAGCTAACGTGTTATAAGACTTATAACATGTTCATTCATTGGCAATTAAATTAGGTCCAGATAGGTCCAGATGTTCGCCGTTTAGCCACTGCTGTTTCTCCAAAGTGTTTTTTTTGCTGGAGCCAAAGGTCTTCCGTTTTGCCGTAGGACATGGTACTGCCTTTGCACCCGCTGTTGCTACAAAGGCATACAACAAAGGCGTTTTCATTGAATAGGGAGTTGTTCGCAGACGAAAGGTTTGTCAGAGTTTGTCATATGCTCCTGCCTTTGGTACAAAAAGTCCTTCCATTGAAGGGAGCATTTACAGGAACCCTTGATTCAATTGATGGGAAAAGAACTGGTTTCCTGCAAAAAACACCCTGATATAAAATGACATGAATCCATTGAAAGATAAGCCCAGCGTCCAAGTTGGGAGATGGCAGAAGAAACAACAAATACCACCTACTATGCTTGCATGTTTTTCGATGGAAAGAGGTTCTGGCAGCTGATTCTTCACTTGCAAAGCCTTTTGTATAAATAGTTCCTTTCAGATAGGTTTGTTTTGTGCTGTAAACAGCACTCATAAAGTTTTGGAACCCATTCGTGCCTTCGGTCTTTGCTTCCAATTTCCATGAATATCTTTTTTTTTGCACTGGCATCAGGCATCCCTCCTTTCTCGTCTGCACTCTTGTTCCTCCGCCGCCGTTTGGACCAAAAACAGTAATTTGATCTTACATTTGTACATTTACTGAGCGCCGAGAGTAGAGTGGTTTATATAATAATTCTATGCCTTATTTTGCTTGCCTAGCTGTTTTCGTATGTGATTGTTGCAGCTTGGACATCTGAACCATCTTCAAACAAGTCCAACTTTTGTCCTGATTTGATTGGCAAAAATTAGAACACTATGTTGGTACTGCTGCGGATATCAAGACGAGACTAGATGGACTCAAGATCCACTTCAGGCAAAGGTCTTGCCACGGGGGTGTGCTTGGAAGATCTGAAACCGAGCAGAGCTAAGCTCTACTATCAGCTGAGGCATTAGATGACTTGGTAAAGTCTGACGAGGTCTCAAACTCAGTGGCCTCAGTCGCCTTAGTCGCCTCAGTCGCCTCAGTCGCCTCAGTCGCCTAAACGCTGCCAGAAACCATGCGAGACGTGGGTTCTCCTGCTGAACAGACGTCATGTCAGTCGAGGACTGGAAAGATGGCAGATCTCGTCCAGCACCTTTCTCAATGGGGTGACGGGTTGGGAGATGTTGCCGACACTTTTGAAATGATGATTAATCACATCCTTAAATGAAATACCACCCAAGAAATGAATAGATACAATATTCGACTATGGTTCCAAGGGGGGGTTGTTAGGGGGAATGGTCATTGTTTTGAAGCGCCAGAGGGAATCCTGTTGCTCCTCGTGGGTTTGCAAGCAGCACCGCGACACATTGACATTCACTTTCTGGAAGGGTCTGTATGGGTAGGCTGTTGCTGTTGTGTACCCTGCTCAAAGTTTGTCATTGACAAAGGTTCTTCTGTTGCTTTTGATACTCTGTGAACAAACATGGGCAACGGAACATCACCAATTTTTCAATGACTTATGGACCTATGAATGATTCATCAGGTGAAAGGGACGATTGTTCGTCGCCGGATGAAATTGACGGTTAAGCAGTGGCCCAACCCTCCAATGGCAGGCTCCTGGGGATAACACCACCATAGTAGGCTGATTTATCATTGGATATTGATATGTTTGAATATTCCACCCACTATTCCACCAATATCCTGAATATTCCAATTCAATCATCCAATATCATCGAATATATATATAAATCAAATGTAAACCCCGGATTAATAATCCCCTGGGCTGTTTAACCGGGGGGTAGGTAGCATTTTAGAAGCCAATTACCACTATTGGGGATGTAGCCCCGAACTAAAAGGGTCTATCAATCCCAGGGTTGACATCGTACCAAAAAATGGCCAGGCAAGGACGAAGCTTGCGCGTGCCCGCGATGGACCCTACGCTCCTGGGATCAAGATTGTAGGGCAAAGAGCGGTATGGGGCCAAACTTACCACCAAATCCGCTAGAATATTGCCTTGAAACAACTTTGCTGCCACCAAACCCATCAATATTCCCTTGAAGACATAAAACATTGTGACTCTTGGGGTTTTGAGTCTTGGCCCCCAGACATATGGCACCTCTGAGGCCAATGGCAGAGGCCGCCGGGTTCAGGGAACCAAACGTCGTCAAAGTGTCAGTGTAATGCCCAACACAATTTTGGTGAAGGTTTTACATTCTATTCTATTCACACAATAATTACATATAATTACATACCACATTCATATTATATATATGATATATATATACACATTATATCCAGTAATATTTTTTTCTTCTCGCTTCAGAACAACCATTGAAGTCCCGCACTAGTTTCAGATTGCCTTGTCAGGTGATCGAGGACGGCTGCGCCTGCCCCCAGAGGCTTGGCTCTTTCTGGATCCAATCCTGTCGTGTTGCGGGCGCAGCCGCGCAGCCACGGCTCGCAGGAAAAGGGCTTGCTGAAGACCCAATGCTTTTTCGAGGCCTGGCTGCCCGGTGGATACCTTTGGTTTTACCATCTGGTTATGACTGACATAGCCATGGTATAGATGGCCCATTTATGGATGGTTTACCTATTAAAAATGGTGATTTTCCATGGCTATGTTAAATAACCAGATGGTATGTCTGTTGATTGATTTTGAATATCTTGATGTTCTTTGATGAAAACTGTTGGATACTGTTGGTCATTTTCGCAACGATGCTTTGAGCCGATGCTGAGGAAAAGGATTTGGTCATCAAGCTCTACGACACTCAGGCACAAGCCATACAAGCTTAAAAATGATACAATACAGATGGAGAAAATTGCATAAGAGAAATTCCGGGGTGGCAGAACACAATGTCTTTTGTGGATTTTGGGTAAGTTTTGGACTTATGTTTTTTTTCTTACAGGCTCGACTGGAAATCTGTAAAGTGATTAGAACACAAAAAAAACGAAACACTTTGTGGAAAAATAGGAAACACATGTAAACAAAGTGACTAAAAAAGCAACCACAGGAAAAAAAACTGAAAACGCAAATTTAAAAAACAGTAAACCACTTTTCCATTGCATTTTTTTCCTGCCTGGGCTACTGTTTTTTTTTTCACTTTCCGTTTGCAATTTGATATTGTTGCATTTTCCAGTCGAAGCCTGTTGCTGCAATACATAATTTTAGACCAAACACGTGGGAAAGAACTCACATCGCCTCTCACTCCCTGGTTTCCAAGTTGTCTAAACTCCAAGTGCTGCCAGGTGCTTGTGATAAAGGACTGCATCTCACTGCTGTATCAGTGGCTCGGGTGGATGTGTCCACATTGTTTGAACACTCCACTAAACATTGTGTTTATGATTGTTTATGCAGGATCCAACCTACATCCTTCTAAGATGAGGTTTGGGCTGAGAAGCTTCGTTTTTCCAGGAGAAACTGGCAGAAAAGACGGGAGAGGAAGACTCGTCTGCAGCTGAACAGTACCCAGGTTGTGTGCAGAACCCCGCAAAGGGGTGAGTAAATAGGCCGTCACCTACCAAAGTGAAGGTGCTACTACTACCGCTACCTTGTATCAACTTGTTGATTTGACTGAGCTTGTGATTCCATGTGGTGCAAGAGGGGGGTCAGCAGATTGAAATGGAACATTGCGAATGATATCAGAGCCGTAACATCACGTAAGAACTGATTTTGTGAAGGAAAATCTGTTGACATTCTTGAGGTCGGAGCAGAAACAGTTGGTGCAACTGGCACAGTTTTTGTGGTGTTCAAAGCTCAAAGAACCAGTCATGGTCAAATGATCCAAGATTGAGAACGATAACATTTGGTTTTTTCCTGAAAATAGATGAAAATAGGTTAAACGGTTAACCCCAAATCCATGCCGGTTTTATCAGCATTCTGTCATTCGACATGGTTCTTGTCTGGGTATCGCCATTTCCATGTCGGTGCACCGCCAGGTCTTAGTTCTCACCAGTGGCGGTTTCCGCACAGCAGAGACCAAGGCCATCCTAAATGAGGCCTGCGGCCATGTTGGAAGCTATTGAGGAAAGGGGCACTAAATTTGCAGATGCCACATTTGAATATATTTGAGACATCCTGTGACATCTGTGTAAAGCATCGGAGAGTTTTTTGTGGACAATTTGTTTGATATACTAATATACAAAGCCATAGTGAATTATACGGTTTGTCCGTATCCTACGTAGACAAATGATCGTGGACAGGTCTGAATTGCCGCCATCATCAGGCTCTGAAGCCTATGGCTTTGCAGGTGGAGTCCAGCGAAGGCCAACTTGACGGCTGGGACGGGTGGGAAATCTACTGACGGGGTGGCACTTGGATGCACTGAGTAATTGTTCTGTCATATTATGATATTTGTATCTTTATCTAAACGCACCAGCAACTAAATTCATCCACTTTTCAAATTGAGGATTTATTGTGTTAACTCCTGTTGTTCTTAAAGCGTAATGTGAACCTTGGGGTTTTGATGGGAACATCAAGGGAAGATTGGCGTTCCGAGCGACGATTTTCCATGGTGTTTCCACTGTGTTTTACCTTCCTATCTCGCTGGGGACCATGGGGACCCCTTGTTTCTTTCAAGGATACTATGTCTTACTATGTCTGACTGTAGATTCTAAATATGGACATATGATACAATATCTGTACAAACATGTATATGGGCGTGTCCAAAAATAGGGTATACCCCGAAACGGCCATCTGCGGAAGGGAACATGAGGATAAACCAGTGGATTTAGTGGTCGATTTCCAGACACCCCATAAACCATTTTCATCATTTTTTCATCATATCCCAGTATTATCCCATTTATATTCGATTGTCCCACAAATACATATTATATGTATACGCATTGATCGTTGTTCCATTGATCACATTAAGACTTCAAATCTGGGATACAGTGTATGTACATATGATGTACTATTAGATATCATCACATTTATTCAGATATTTGTTGATTCACACATCATGGTCCCATGAATATTTACGAGGATCACAAAATCCATACTCCCATACCATAATCCAATATGAATGTTATACACATTAATATCCCATTAATCCGTGTCAAAACATATCTTATATACATTAGTATACCACATGAATATACCATATGAATATGCCGTATTAATATACTATATTAATTTCCACTCATATTGATTATATATACACCTGGATATCAACATGTTCCATATTGATATCCACTCATATGATTTATACAGGTATTTCATAGATTTCACATCAAGTGAGATAATGGATTATTCATGCAATAACAACTGATAAGATGATTCATCCCATAATTCATTCCCATATTCATTGGGGTATCAGCATTATTCATCCCCCATATTACTGCCATAGTATTTTTCATCAGTAACATTCATTGATTAATACCATTAATATTCCATAACACCAATATTCAATAGCCCAGTAACACACTGCTTGATGGTATACACATTATTCGTTGAACATCAACTATATATATAATAATGATATTCATGAGATATTATATGATTATGTTAGTATCATGTTATGAAACATATATTATTCCATCACATCCAAACCATAGGAATATGTTTCATCTTCCAACATCAGGCTCCGCCTGGCAACTGCGCAGTGACTACAAGGCACCTGGACAGGCGCGTGCGCGGAAAACCGGGGGGATTTGAGAAACAGAAAGGGGAGAACTCTGGGCACAAAATGTATGAAACATGTATCAAATCAAGAATTTTATGGTGATATACTGGATGTATCACTAACTTGATATAATATGACATGTGGGTTTGGCTAAATTGGGATGCCTCAAATTGATGGTTATATTGCAACAGATCTGCGTTGGTCAAGATATGGTTTAGAGGCGTATGGTCCTAGCAGTGGGTTGATCATCTGACGAACAATTCGATAGTGATC